AGTCTCTGGGAGCGGTGGTTTGATTCCAAGACACTCAAGGCAACCCAGACCAGCGCTGGAGGCAATCTGCAGACCAAAAAAAAAAGCCTTCTGTATAGGGCCAGGGAGATGGCTCAGTGGAATAAGTACTTCCCTGGCAAGCACAAGGGTCAGAGTTCAATTCCCGGTTCCACCAAAAAAAAAAAAAAAAAAAAGATTAAAATCCAAGTAAAACCCATCAGAATTTATGGGATGTGATGAAAGCAGTTTTCAGAGGGAAACTTACAGCTTAATGTGAACTCACACATTAAGAAAACAGAATGGGGACAAATAAACACCCTAACATTGCACCTCCAACATCTAGTAAAGGAAGAGCAATCCAAACCCAGAGCCTAAAGATGAGAAGAAATCATAAATTAGAGCAGAAATTATTGCAATTCAGACAAAGAAAACAGTTCAAAGAATTAAGGAATCAAAAAGCTGGCTCTTTGGAAGATTAAAGAAAATTGATAAGCCCCTAGCTAACCTCATCAAAAAGAGGAAAGAAAAAATTCAAATACAAGCAATAAGCAAGGAAAAAGGTGTAATTACTACAGACCCATTGGAAATTCAGATTATCAATAGCTACTTTGAGAATTTTTGCTCTTACACAACAGAAGACACAGAAGAAATGGACAGATATACAAATTAACAAAACTGAATCAAAAAGATAAAACAACTCTAAATAACCCAATAGCAGCCAATCATATGAAATGTAATAAAAAGCCTACCGACAAAGAAAAGTCCAGGTCCTGATGGATTCACAGTTAAATTTTACAAGAAATTTATGGAAGGTATAATCTCTATACTTCTCAAACTCTTCAATGAAATTGAAAATGAAGCAATCCTCCCAAAATCATTCCTGGAGGCAAGTATTATACTGATACCAAAACTAGGGAAAGATACAACTAAAAAAGTGAACTACAGGCCAATCTTTTTCATGAACATAGATGCAAAAATCCTCAACAAAATCCTAGCAAAAAGAATATAGCAAATCATCAAGACTATTATACACCATGACCAAGTAGGATTCACCCAGGGATGCAAGGATCGTTCAATATATGCAAATCTATAAGTGTAATACACTATATCAATAGAATGAAGTCTAAAAACTATATGATCATCTCAACTGATGGTGAAAACGCTTTTGACAAAGTGCAACACTCATTCATGCTCCAAGTCCTAGAGAACATTGGAAAAGATCTCTTCTACTTCAAACTGATAAAAGCCTTCTATGACAACCCAATGACTAACATAATTCTAAATGGGGAAAAACCTGAAATCTAACACTCTCAGACCTGGTACATGACAAGGATGTCCTATCTAACTACTCCTATTCAATATAATTCTGGAATCATTAGCTAGAGCCATCAGGCAAGAGAAAGAAATAAAAGGAATAAGAATAGGTAAAGAAGTTAAATTATCATTATTTGCAGATGACATGATACTTTGCTAGGAAGACCCAAAAAACTCCACCAAGAAGCTACTAGAATTAATACAGTAGCATAGCAGGATACAAAGTCAATACCCAAAAATCAATAGCATTCCTCTACACAAATAACAAACACACTGAGAGGGAAATTAGAGAAACAATACCTATTACAATAGCACCGAGGAAAATGAAATCTGCTGCAATTAATTTATTTAAAGTAGCCAAAAATCTTTTCAAGAATAATTAAAGTACTCTGAAATAAGAGATTGTAGAGGATTTCAGAAAATGGAAAGATATTCCATGCTCCTGGATAGGAAGAACCAACATTTTGAAGATTGCCATATTCCCAAAATTATTGTACAGATTTAGTGCAACCCCTACATATCAAATTACCACCAAAATACCTCCCAGACCTAGAAAAATCATTCCTAAATTTTCTTTTGGAACCAGAAATGATCTAGAATAACAAAGGCAATCCTGGGCAGCAAAGACAAGAAAGGAGGCATTACAATTCTTGATTTGAAATTATACTACAAAGCTAATATTGTAAAATCAGCATGGTACTGGCAACAAAATGGACCTGAGGATCACTGGAGTATTTTAGGAAATGCAGCAGTCTCGATGAACACACTCAGCCACCTTATCCTTGAAAAAGGTCCAAATATGCTTACTGGAAGAAAGATAGCGTCATTAACAAATGGTGATGGAAAAATTGGCTGTCTACATACTGAAAAGTTAAACTTGACCCATGATAGCACCATGCACTAAGGTAAAGTCACAATGTATTAAAGGTCTAAACATTAAAGCAGAGACACTAAATCTCCTGGAAGAGAAAGTGGGAGGAACTCTTGAAGACATAGGGGTAGGCAAAGAGTCCATGGACAAAAATTACATCACATGGGTGACACTGGAAAGAATTAACAACTTGGACTTCCTCTTACTGAGAAGTTTTTGGACATCAAAAGAAATTACCAACAAAGTGAAAAGACAACCCACAAATTTCGAAAACATCTTAACTAATAAGCACTCAAACAAAGGTCTGCTCTCTGGAATCTATAGAGAAGTAAAAAACATTAGGGAACCAAAATTTAAAGACCAATCCAAAAATGGGCAGCTCAGATGAACACACACTTCTCAGAAAATGAAATTAAAGAAGTGAGTAAATATATGAAAAAATGTTCCACGTCACCATCTGTGAAATGCAAATGAAAAGAACACGGAGTTACCATCTCATCCCAGAAAGAATGACTATCATAAACAAATCAACCAACAACAAATGTTGAAGAGGCTGTTGGGAAAAAGGAACCCTCCTCCACTGCTGGTGGAAATGTAGACTGGTGCAACCATTATGGAAATCAGTGTGGAGACTCCTTAAAAAACTAGGACATGATATCCCATTCCAACCAGCTACCCGCCTACTGGGAAAATGTCATATCATAGTGATATATGTGTAGCTATGTTTATAGCCACACAATTTGTTATAGCCAAATCTTGGAAACAACCAAGGTTCCCCTCATCTGAGGAATGGATGAAAAAGATGTGGTATTTTTATGCAATGGAGTATTACTCAGCTATAAGGAATGATATACTTGAAGCCTTTGTATTTAAGTGCATGCCACTTTAGATATACCCATAGGTGAAATAAATCAGATCCACATATGTAAATATCATATAGTCTCCCTAGTATAAGAACTCAAAAGAAGAAATACAAATAGAAAGGCATAACACAATTAAAAGGAAAGCAAGAACTTGAGGACTGGACAATGAGAGGGCAGGGAGAAAAGCTGGGAAACATGACAGGGACAAAGTCCTACATTTATATGCACAAGATGGGTAAGGGAATGACCCCGAGAATCTACAGCATCCTTTTGAAACTTGCAGTTAATTGGCAGGATTCTCACCCTGACTAAGGATATATGCTCATACCTGTGAAGCAACTTCAGTGAAGATAGCAATGTGTAATTGTAGGCTCATACTTTGAATGCCTGTCCTTCTGGTCTTCTAAATACATACTGTTTGTCAGGACATACCAATTACTGACATAGTGTCTCTCAAATAAATGTTTGTTTAAAAAAAAGAGGTAATATATAAATACAAGAGACAAGAAAAAAAGTCATAGACCTGTTCTACAATGCTGTATATGGTTAGATTTCTAAATTTCTGAGTAAAAATATGTAAGTATTTATTCTTTATTTAAAATTTTTTTCTTCATAAACTGTAGGGAGTTAAATTTTAACATATCAATACTTGATGGAAAATACCTATTCCATGTTATGCCTAATATGTTTTATATTCAGACAGATAATGAGGTTAAGCTCAACTGCCTATTTGTAGGGTAATATTAAAAATCTCTTCTGGATGGTTAACAACATGAGTTCACAGACCAAAAATTAGATAAAAAGAAGGGCTGAAAGGACAGCCAACATTCAGCCCCTATCCTTTCAAAGTCAGTTAAAACTCAGGACATAGGAGAACCTATACTGTAACATTATTTAACTCAGTTGTGTCCCAAATTTTCTGATGAAGGAGATTATGGGGCCACAGAGGAATGTGATTGACGATGTAGAGTGTGCCTAAGGAATGTCACATGGAGAGAAAACATTCTGTCAGGCTTTTACAGAGAGCAAATTGGTCAAGCAATGGCCGTGACTCATCCACATGGTTAACGCTGACAAAGGATCTACCAACTGTGGTACAGGGTTTCAGGGTAAATCCTGAGGGGATTTGACTGACCTTATCAGATACAAAAGTTACATTACTTGTTATATAGTTCTTGCTTTGTCTTCTGTTGACCATCCAGCAGAGAAGTGTGGGAACAGAGTGTAAAGGGTAAAGCCATATTAATTTGCTGAGCTGTAAAATTTTGAAGTCAGCAAGGTTGTTTTTTTCTTTTTTCTTCTATACCAGCGATTGAGCTCAGCCCCCTGCACTTTTCAGGTAATCGTTTGATACACTGAGCCACACCCCTAGCCAAGTCAAAAACTTCTATCATTGCCAGTCTTATGTAAAACGCACTACTATCATGTACTACTGGGCTGTATTGGAATATTTTGTTGAATTCAGGCACCTACAATATTTAAGTGGCAATGGAATGCCCTTCTCTGACAAAACCAAACAAAAAAGGGGGATACAAATGATGACCATTTTGTATCTTTATGTTCAAAATAGTTAAGATAGATACACAGCTCCATTCTTTTGGATCATTGAATAGAGAGATTTGTTCTAATAGTGTTTGTGGATAGGATATCATGTCTCTATCTTGTTCGATGAATAAGCACTAAGACAACAATATGCAATGCATTAAGTATGAAAACTGTCCTACTAATCGGTTTTGAAACTGTCTCATTACTATTTGTTTCTCAATAAAGTTATTAAAAAATACTTATGGTACAGAGTTTCAACCAAAGAAAATGGGAAGAAAAGAATAAAAAAATAAAAAAATAATTTAAAAATAGGAATAAACAATTACATATTTTTACACAGAAATTTAGAAATCTAACCATATACATTTCCTTGTTTAAATCTGAAAAATTAATTATTTAGTTTTAAACAGGGGAAAGTGCCAACATGGTCCCCTACTTGTAAAACACATGCAGTTGAGTTCCCTCCATTTGGGGACTCACAGGAGTCAACATATCCACAGTGCAATGGATAAGGCTTGATCTGGGAAAACTACCTTCAAGATCATATCTCTCCTGCCAGTTTAGCATGAGAACTAATTATTGATAACACATTAACTCATGAAGAAATGCTACAGTCAAAAGTCACTCAAGAAAGCATTCACTTTATAGATGCTCATTTAGCTTTCACAAGAAATACATGTGAACAGTGTAGAGAATGTTACAAAAATTATCTGAAAAAATGAGTGTCACTGTGGTGGCAAAAAACATCAATGCATCATGACCCTCTGTGTGATATGCACAAATCACTTGCCTTTATGTGTAAACTGTTTTAAAGTTTAATACTTTTACATATGTTTTAAAGAAATATATTAATTTAAATAAAAATTCAATCAAATGAAATAAATATGTTGATTATTGTATTCATTTTTATTGTTTTTTTTTTGAGACAGGATCTTGCTATACAGTCAAGGCTGGCCTCAAACTCATAATCATCTTCCTGTCTTAGCCTCCCAAGTGCTGGGATTACAGGGATATACTGCTATTTTTTAAATGGCATAAATAGTTTAAATTAGTATCTATATTTGGCCTCTAATTATTGAAATTTCAGCAATTAACTAGATTTGGTCCATTTATAGACTTTTACTAATTTTATTAGCATAAAAACCAATAAAAGTGAACAGATCTATTTGTACCTCAAGTGTTCAAGCCACATGATGGAAATGTGTTAACACATCTTAATAAAAATTCCAACAGCATTCTTCATAGAACTGGAGAATACTATTTTAAAATTCATATGGAGCCAGAAGAGACACAGAATACCAAAAGCAATCATGGATGAAAAGGGCATAGTGAGAGACATTACTATCCCTTTTGTGAAGTTATATTATGAAGTTACTGTAATAAATACAGCATGCTACTGGCACAGTGACAGACACGTAGATCAGTGGAACGAATGGAAGATGCAAAAATAACCCCAACTACATTGAACTATTTGGCCTTTGATAAATGGACCCAAAACATATACTGGAGGAAACATGTCCCCTGCAGTAGTGTTGGGAAAGCTGTCTGTTGCCATGTAGAAGACTGAATCTAGACTCATAGTTCCCCACATATTGAATTAAAATCAAAATAGATCAAAGCATTAAATTTTAAACCAGAAACACTGAACATGCAGGCAGGTAAAATAAGTAAAACTCTTGAAGTCATAGCCATAAGCAAAGACTTTCTGAACAAAGCCTCTGTTGTAGAGGAAATAGTTAAAAAAATCAACAAATAAGAGCATATGAAATTAAATGCTTCTGTACAGCAAAAGAGACAACCAAAAGGGTGAAAAACAACCTACAAAATGAAAAAAAAATTACCAGAAATTCTTCAGGCAGAAGTCTCACATCTAGAATATATAAAGAACTCAAAAACATGAATCCTCAAATAAATGACTCAATAAAAAATAGGCAATCAAAATGAATAAACATTTCACAAAAGAAGGATGAATGGCCAATAGATATTTGAAGAAATGCCCAACATTACCTGCTATTAAAGAAAGGCAAATTAAAACACCACTGATTCTGTCCTATAGCAGAAAGAATGCCCACAATCAAGAAATTAAATAATAACAAATGATTCAGGAGAAAAGGGGAGCCAGGGAGATGGCTTGGAGCCAGGGAGATGGCTCAGTGGAATAAGTGCTTCCCTGGCAAGTGCAAGGGCCTGAGTTCAATCCCCGGTTCTGAAAAAAAAAAAAAAAAGGAACCATTCTACACTGTTGGTGAGAATGTAAACTAATATAATCACCATGAAAATCAGTGGGAAGAGTCCTCAAAAAACTAAACCTGGAAATTCCATTCAATCCATCTATTCCCATATTCCCATTCTAGGAATCTCCCTGGAATAATTAATGACACTTTTCTTAGTCTTTTTTCTCACTGTTGATGCAAAATTCCAAACATCCAAAGTTAAAGGAGGAAAGGGTTATTGTAGCTCACGGTTTGTAGCACGTTCAGTCCATAGTAGGCTTACTCTGAGGCACGGTGGCATGGCCTAGGGGGAATCACAGCAGAGAAGCAGTTTATGGATTGGCAGAGCAGGCAGAAGGCAACAAGTAGAAAGCAACAGCAACAATAGCATTCCAAAGCAGCAGCAGCAGCTTCTTTCTTTCCATTTATATTCTATCCAGGCTGCAAACCTATTAATTAGTCCGCCCACACCTTGGTTGGAGCACTCTTAATCCCAGCCTCACATACCCTATATACAATGAACTCTGAAAAACCCCACCGATGACCATATCAGGTTTTGGAGGCACATCCAGACACAAGCTGTAACATCATATTACAGTGACAAATCCATGTCTATGTTTACAGCAGCACAATTTTCACAATAGCTAAATCTTGGAAGTGGCCCATATGTCTGTCATCAAATGAATGGGTGAAGAAAACAGTATTTATACACAATTGATTAACATTTAGTCATAAAGGAAGATAAAAATGAGTTATTTCTAGAAAAATGGATAGACTTTGAGACCATAATGTTATGTGAAATAAATTGGACACACAGACTTAAATGTCATATGGTCTATCTGATATGAGAAACCCAGAGTAAAAATAAAGAGCAAAATAAAAATATGGAAAATAGAAAGTAGATCTTTTTCAGAATGGAAGATCATGAGGTGGGAGTGGGAGGGAAAGGGGATTAAAAAAGAACCGGGACGTATGATGTGTGTTTGCCAACTACACACACAGAATGTAGACATTATATATTTCAAACATGCTCAAAAATAACAAAGGAAGGTGATTAAGAGATGGGAGAAGAGGACAAAAAAAGAATTAGGATGTGTTATGTACATGCACTTGCTTCCCACAAGGAACATAAACATTATGCACTACACATATGTACTAATAAACTAAACTAAACTACGCTAAACTAAACTAAACTAAACTGAAGAAACACAGGAAGTGCTTGCAAACAGTTAATTGAGACTAGAAAGAATTACATTGAGCACCTCCTATGAGCACCAAGAAACCACAGAAGGGCATTGCTGGGCTGCATCAAAAAGATATTCATTATTTAGAGAGTAGAAATTTGAGTGGTGATCTTTTGAAAGGTCTATATGAAGGTCCTATTTCATCCACATCTGGCCAAGGGAAGTCCTCCCCATTGGGTAGGACTACTGTTTGGATATCTGGTGTTAACTTTTCTAGAGTTTGAGTTGCCTATGGGAAGTAGACAGAGCTCAGAGGGAAAAACGTCATTTTCATTGCAGCAATACCTGTCAGAGTCTAGTAGAGGGTCTGCCATTCAGGAGGTAAGCACTGAGTATTTTCTGAGCGAATATGTGAATGGAGCAGAGAGCAGGCTGACAGGAAAGAAAGACACAGAAGAAACCAATTTGACAAACATTATTGATCCTATATTGCCTGCTAGTTCCTGAGAAAATAAGAGGCTAGATGGACAGCGCCAAGTCAAAGACAGATCCAAGCCCTAACAGGTTGATGATTGTGCAGAAATAAATATTGGTAAGTGGACACAGTGCTCAATTGTGGTTGCGTGTGGGTGTCCCCCCCAAAAGTCTACCCTGCCTGCTTCTGGAATGTATCAGTACTCTTATCTCCACTGTATATTAAATTATAGGAAAATCAGCAAGCTTATTTTAATATCAATAATTACTCTATAATACTGAGAAGAAAATTTAGTAAAAATGCCAAGTACTGTAATCTAATTTATTTCTTTTTGATTCTTACTAGAACCCTGAAATAGAGGCATAGTAATTCCCATTTTAGAGATGACAAACCTGAGCATCTTAATTGTAATGATTACTTATAATTGTATGACTGTAGAACCAGGATTGAAACTTGGTTCTTGGGTCCATGGGTCAGTGCTCTGTTCTTTTGCTCTGATTGTATTTGTAAGTCAAGTATATCCAATGCTCACACCATGTTCTTATGGCTAGATAAACTGAAATGCAGATATCTGCAGCCAGCATATGGCCAACAGAGGCAAGTGCTGCATAGGAGGCATCTTGGTTTTACTATACATCTGTCTGTCTGTTTGTTGTGAGACAGGGTCTCACTGTGCAGTTCAGGCTGGCCTTGAATTCACCTTGTAGCCCAAGCAGGCCTTGAGCTCACAGTGATCCTCCTGCCTCAGCCTACAGAGTGCTGGATTATAGGCACGATCCACCACAAGCTGCTGTAGGTCTTATATTATGAACCTTAATATAAAAAGCTTCCAGTGTAGTTCATTCATTTACATGTCATTCAGTCATTCAGTCACTAACATACTCATTGATACTTCAAATATAGGCTGGTTTCCTATTATGCATCCCAAGCAGTTGTGAGGACAAGTAGAAGTAAGTCAAAGATGGTTACTACCTGGAGGAGTTGGAGAAGCTCTTCTTCCATTAATTAATGGGAAAAACAAGGATTAAAGACAATTATAACTATCATTTCCTGAGTGATTTCACTGCTGAGTGACAACAGCGGTGTCACTGTTGATTTTCCTGAGTGATGACCCCTTCCAAATTATTCACTCTCTTTACTATGTTCTAGCTTTCCTGTCCTCTCTTACATTTGCCTAGGATTCCCTTCACTACTTTCATCTTCCCACATTCTACTCTTCAATCTCTTAGCACACTTAGCATAGTTTACAGCCAATTTCCTCCTGAAGCTTTACATGGCCTTATAGTGCTACATAGTTGTGTTAAGCCAAATAATAATGATGAGAGATAAAATAGGCACATAGGGTGTTGCTGTTTTATGACAATCAGATAGCTCCTGGAATATTCATAATCATAGAATGTTTAATTCTTGGACTTTCCCAGAGGTAGCTTTCTAGATGAAATGACTCCAACTGTACGATGTTAGGAACTGCAGGATTAATGATGTACTACACCATGGCCACATATTGAAATCTTTATTTTATTTTTTTTGAATTATTGATTTTTTTATTGTTTGCACATTTTACTCCCCACTCAACAATCATTGGCAGCCGATTACAGAATTCAAAAACTCTTCACAGGAAACTAAACAGGAAATCTCTGATTCAGATGTTAGCATACTCATATAAGACAGAAATAATATTTAAGAGAAATCATC